AAAAAAAAAAAAAAAAAAACTTTTTGACTCTCAGTAATAACACTTAGATTAAAACACAAATACCTTATACAGCTGTACAAAAATATTTTCTTTTTGTATCCTTATTCTATGTTTTTTTCTATTTTGAAACTTTTTAACTTTATACACTTTTTTGGTAAAAACTAACACACACACCTTAGCCTAGGTCTACACAGGGTCAGAACCACCAACATCACTGTCTTCCACCTTCCATCTAGTCCCACTGGAAGGTTTTCAGAGGCAGTAACAGGGCTGCAGCTGTCACCTCCTATGATAACAATGCCTTCTTCTGGAATTCCTCCTGAAGGACCTGCCTGAGGCTGTTTTACAGTACTTTTTTTTTTGTAACTAGAATAAATATCCTCTAAAGTAATGATAAAAAGTATAGTAAATATACAGGCCAGTAACATAATGGTTAATTATCAAGTATTCTGTACTGTGCATACTTGTATGCGCCATACTTCTGTACGACTGGCAGTGCAATAGCTCTGTTTACACCAGCATCCCCATAAGCACATGAGTAGTACCCTGTGCTATGATGTTATGATGGCTACAATGTCACTAGGCGATAGGAATTTTTAGCTCTATTGTAATCTTATGGGACCACCATCAACTATGTGGTCCATTGTTGAGTGAAATGTTGTTATATGGTATATGACTGCAAAGAGAAGACAATGTCCAACATAAAAGAATGAATGGCTAGTGTTGTCATTTTAGGCATGTGGTGGTAGTACTTGGTGGTCTAGGGGAAGTGAGCTTCTTGATCCCTGTGAATTACTTGAACCAAGGCTGATGAGGCGAAGGAGCAGGAGAGGGGAGGCGCGTTTGTGTGCTGCAAGCCTGTATCTACTCGTGGGAGACACAGAGGCCTATGCTGGCTGCCCATCTTGTCTGCAGGCCAGCCCAGGCTGGGTTCCTGCTGGGGCTGGGGCAGCCAGGCCTCCTATGTGGGGTTGACCCACCAGGGAGAAGTCCCTGCCAGTCTGTCTGGGGACGCTGGGGCGGGGCAGGGAGAGGTGCTAGGCAGGACCAGCCAGCTGCCAGTGCCCTGGTCCTCGCCCTCTGAGAGTGGAAGGGTGGGGGTGGCGGCCCAGCGTTCCTGGCTGGGAGCCCAGAGGAGTCTTTTGTAATCACAACATGATCTCGTGTGCTGAGCAGCGAAGCCGGCAGGGAGAGGCCAGCAAAGGCCCGACTCCGGTGGCTCCAGCTTCCCTCCCACTCTGGCTCCCCAGGGGCTGCTCTGGAATTCTCTCGGTGCCCGCTGTTGCCATGCACTCGGCTGTGAGTGGCACCCTGCCTTTGGCAGGGGGCTTCTTGGGACTGGGAGGGGGCTGGGATACCAGGCAGCCACCCTTTGGGGGCAGCTGGGGACAGCTGGGGCTGGGGGGAAGAGGCCTGTGACTAGATGGGTCGAGGGCAGGCCACAACAGAGACCCTGCAGGCAGACAGGGAGGAACCTGGAATCTCGAAGCAGAGACATGGCTTGCCCAGGGCGACTCCGGGCTGGGGCCGCCAGGGGAGCTGGCTCTCTCCGCCCCGACTGCCAGCAGCTTTCAGCCTGAAGAGGCTGGGCCCGTGGGAGCGGCTCTTTCCTCCAGGCTGGGCACAGGCCTGGGTGTGGGGTCCAGGGCTTGAGAGCCCAGGATGGAGCCAGGGCCTCTCCTTTTTCTGTGGTTGTGAATCTGGGAGCCTAACAGCTCCCCCCTCGACCTCCCGAATCCTCTGGCAGCTTCCCAGTCACGGCAGGTTCCGCTGCCAGAGCCATTTATAACTCCCATTCCAGGCTCTGCTCTGCAGTGAAGCTCCCTGGAGAGCTGGGGGAGGGGCAGCCCACTGCTGGGAGCTGTGGCTCCGGGTATGAGGCCCTGACCCGAGCCCCTCAGGAGGCAGGGACAGGCAGACAGGCCTAGCTGAAATGGGGGCTTGGGGCCTTCTTTGGGCCATCTGCCTGAGCAATGCACTTCCTTCCTGGGTGACCTTAGCTGTGGGTCTGGGATCTGTTCTTTGGGTGGTAAAAATGTGAAAGCTGGGGACTGGAGGTGGGGATCCAGAAGTCAGCAGCTTGGGGTCCCTGCTTCTGCAGGGGCCTCCCAGAGCCGAGTCCCCCATGCGCAGGCAGGAGAAGGACGCAGAGCTGGATCGGAGGATAGTTGCCCTGCGCAAGAAGAACCAGGCCTTGCTCCGCAGGTACCAGGTGAGTGGGCTGCCACAGGGCCAGGAGGACCCGCTTGGCTGCCACTCCCTGGTTGTCCAACACGTGGTGGTCTTTCCCTGAGAGCCCAGGAATGCCTCTCTGGGCCTGGGGCTAGGGGTAGGGTGGGCATGGTCCCTCTCAGAGGCTTGGTCAGGGTCCTGGGGATGTGTGATGTGGCGCCTCTGCCCCCTGGTGTCCCACTGGTGTCTCTCTGTGTAGGCCTGTCAGCGTCTGTGTCTCTGTGCATCTGGGGGGCTGTGGCGTGTGCTGACCCCGGGCCCTCCCACAGGAGATCCAGGAGGACCGTCGGCAGGCAGAGCAGGGGGGCATGGCTGTGACCACACCGGCGCTCCTCCAGCCCGACGGCCTCACGGTCACCATCAGCCAGGTTCCTGGTGTAAGCCTCACCCTGGGAGACAGGGCGCGTGGTGAGGAGGTGGAGGGCCAGACCGTGTCGGGGGAAGACAGCTGCCTCTGTTCCCCTCTCCCACTAACTGTTCCAGGGTGCATCCACCAGCTCCCAACCTCCTGCAACCTGGCCACTGCTGTCCCCACCAAAGATCCACAGCTGAAATCCCCCCTGCCCCCAGTAGAAGCCTCCTCATACCCTTTTCTAGCCCACAGCTCTGCACCTACGCAGCAAAACACACTCCTAAACCTCAAGCCCCAGGAGTAAAAACCCTGCAGGAAGTGGGGGACAGAGAAGTTGGGGCTGAATGCCAGGAGCAGTGTCTGAGGGACAGAGATGCATTGTCTCACTGCTCTGGGTTTCCCAGCTCAGTGATGACGGGCCACTGTGGCATCTTGGCCCTCTGAGTGGCCCTGGGCCCTGGATAACCTCATGCCATTGGCATGTGAACACCCTGTGGGAGTCAGTTCCTCTGTGGGCATTGCAGGGAGGGCTGGGGTTGGAACCCAGGCCTGGGGAACCACCGAGAGGACCCAGCACCTAGGTCCTGTCCAGCACTGTACATGTGGCCTGAGGGTCTTCGTTCTGCAGGAAAGGCGGGTGGTTAGCAGGAACTGGACAAGGGGCACCTGCAGACTCAGAGTGGCCAATGAGATGCTTGAGGATGAGGACACAGAAGACTATGGTGGTACTTTCTGCTTAGGGGAGCGGGTAGAGCTGGCCGTTACCATGGAGAACAAAGCAGAGGTGAGCAGGGTGGGTGGGGAGTTGCAGGCATCAGTGGGCAGCCTCTTCTTCCCTGGCTCTGCTGCACTGCTCATCTTCACCCTCCCCAGGCCAAACGGATTGTAAGTGAAAAGCCTACTAGAGCAAGGAACCAGGTCACAGAGGGGTCACCTGGAGGGCGTGTGGCCCGGAGCCCCCCCATGCAGGTGGCCATCAGCTCGGACTCTGCAAGGAAGGTGCGCCTTCAGAGGGGATGGGGACATGGATCTGAAGGTCCTCACTTGGGGGAGGCAGAGAAGCTGAGTCAGATATGTCCCTCCTTTGCGGGGACGTGGCCGAGGCAGCACCTACAGGAGTTCCTGCTCCTCCTTCCTTTCTCTGGCCAGTCTCTACTTTGATTGGGACTTGAAGTGGGAGACAGTTTAAGCCAGAGATGTGATCCAGCCTCCTCCCCTATCTAGCCCCTCTGGTGGGAGAGGAGCAGGGGAGGGGGCAGGAGGGTGGAGGTGACTGGCCAAGTGCCAGGTGTGACCTCTAGGTGGCAGCACCCCCTAGTCCTTGCCCTTGCTCACAGCCTTCAGGGCCCCTCCCACTCCGGCCTGTCTGCACACTCCTGCAACAACCCTGTGGGCTGGTGCTATGGAGAGCCCTATTTTACAGATTAGGAAATGAGACACCAGTTAAATCATTTGCTTAAAACACACAGCTAACAAGTAGATGGAAACCATTTCCACGAGAGAGCTGGAGCAAATCTAATTTTTAGCAGGGGATGTGAAAACCTTCAGAGAGGAAACATCTGGAGTCTCCAGACCCCACTCCAAGCCTCTTCCTGCCTTTTTCCCCCCTCCACCCCTGCCTGCTGAGTGTCTTCTCCCTGCAGGGTGTTCGGGAGCCCCAGAGCCAGCCTGTGGGGGAACCCCCGGAGGTGGGCTGGGACTATGCCCAGTGGAAGCAGGAGCGGGAGCAGATCGACCTAGCCCGCCTTGCTCGGCACAGAGATGCACAGGGTGACTGGCGCCGCCCGTGGGACCTGGACAAGGCCAAGCCCACGTGGGTGGCCGGGCTGGGCAGCTTGCTGGGCTGGTGTCCTTGTGGTACCGGGGTGGAGCTTGGAGGGCTGCAGGGACCCTCCTTGGGGTGAAGAGGACCTTGCTGGGGCTCTCTGGTCAGGCCCAGGATTCAAGGCTCTGTGTGCGCACTGGGTCTCCCATCTTTCTTGGGCCTACCATCTCCCTGCTGCCTTCAATTCTGGGACTGGGCTTGGAGGAAGTGGTGTCAGGGTGGGGCCCACAGTAGCTTCTGTGCACTAGCAACCTGACTCCCTTGTCTGTCTACACAGGCTACAGGACTGCAGCCAGCTGAGGGAAGAAGGCCTGGCCAGGGCAGGCAGCAGAAGGGGTAAGCCCACACCCACTTCATCCCTCCCCTTCTTGGCTTTGTTCATCTTTTACCCCCTTATCCTCTCTTTTCTCTATCTCTTAGTTTCCTACTTATTTTCAGAGCTGAAAGGAAGCCTTGGAGAACATCTTCCTTCCTCTCCCTTGCTATCAGAGGAGGGCACCAAGACCTCCCATCCTCCCCTCTGAGCCCACAGCTCTTGTCCAGGTTCTGACCAGAAGGCCCCAGAAGGAGGCTCAGTGGAAGCCTGCCTTGGGGTCTCTTCGAGGTCCTGGTCCCTACTGGGTGAAAGTCCTGGTGGTCCTGCCCCGGGCCTTCTGTAGAAACAGCTCTGTGGATTTCTGGTCCCCTTGTTTTACATATATAAAGAAGCTGTGGCCTGAGAGTTGGGGCCAGACACCCAGCCATGGAGTGGCAAAGCTGACACAGGACCTGACTCTTCTGACCCCTAGGCCAGGGTGCTTTTGGGTAGGCAAAACCCATGACTGGCCCCAAGGACTGACAGCTTCCTGAGGCTGGAAGATTTGGTGTTCCTGTTTTGGATCTTTTGTCACCCCACCTTTCCCCACTTCCTTTGTCCCCTGCAGGTCCCAGGAGCCACCGGAAACTACAGCCCCCACCATTGCTCCCTGATGGAAAAAGTAAGTTGTGGAGGAGGAGGGTCTGGGTCCCGTCAGCTAAAGAAGGAGCGGCTGCTATGGGCCTCTTCTCTCTTTGGATTGTGGACCATCTCTTGCAGGTCGGGGCGGGCAACCCAGCAGATCCTTGGTGGCACCAGCTGCAGGCAGCAAAGTCCGGGGCAAGGAGAGGCTGACTGGCAGGGCCCGAAGGTAACAGGTGGCAGGGGACAAAATCAAGGCGGGCATCTGGGTGTCCCAATTTCCTGGACCAGCACAGGCCCAGGTGCCAGCTTTGTCCCTGGGGCCCCTACCTCCTGGCTGACTGCTGCCTGGCGACAGATTAATGAGATGCTGGGAGAGGCCATCAGCAAAGGCAGTAGAGAGAGCCTGGTGCTCAGGGAGGCCAGTGGTAATTACAGCAGCTCCCTTCCCCTGGGAAGTGAGGTGTGCCTTTCCCAGGCAGTGCAGGCAGGGACATGCCTGGAGTCCCCACAGAACTCAAGGTGCTGCAGGCTTGGCCATAAACAGCAGCTGGGGGCCCAGGATGGGGCCAGAGTGGGTGGCATTCAGGGGAAATAGTTGGATTTAGGGAACAACATCAGGCTTGGGAGGGGGAAGGATCCTGGAGCCACATTCTGGCTCTGATCCCAGTCTGAGACCCTTGGGATTTGGCTTATCCCAGGGGTTTCTTTTGGGAGGAGGTGGCGGTCGAGAGGAAGTGGAGGCCCAGAGAGGGTAGAGGTTCAGAGGAGGTGGAGGCCCCTTGTCTCTTGTCCTGCCATGGCTACTGCCCTCTGCTGAGGGCTGTGGGGCTCTTGGGAGAGTCTGGATCACCCCTGGGATTTCTCCACTGCCCAATGAGAGACATAAACCATGGGATCCCAGCTCAGCCGTCCTTACTGGCTCTCAACTCTATCCCACCCCTCTATTCAGGCAGGTGGACATGGGCCGCCGGCTCTGGAGTGAAGTGGGGTAGGGTGTACCATTGCGCTTTGTTTCTACAGGTGGGATATGAAGGAAGACAAGGAGGAGCTGGAGAGTCAGGAGGTAGGTACTTGAGTATAGGATGGGGCAGGCTGGGGACGTGAGCCCTGCATTCACCAGCCACTGGGGGTGTTCTCTTGTTTTAGGGAAGCCAAAGCACCAGAGAGACTCCCAGTGAGGAGGAACAAGCACAGAAGCAGAGTGGGATGGAGCCGGGCCATCTGGGGAGCACCCCTGCAGCCAGCCGAGCCCTGGCATCCCCAGAGGGGCCAAAGGGGGAGTCAGCAGCTTCCACAGCTGGCTCAGTGCCCTGCTCTCCACAGGAGCCTGACTTGGCTCCTCTTGACCTTTCTGTAGGAGGGGCTGGCATCCCTGGGCCTAAGGAGGGCACGTGTTTGCTCAATCCAAGGCCTGAGGCCCAGGAGAGCCCTGTGTCTTGGCCAGATGGCTCTGAGCAGCAGCCCCTGGGGTGGAATAATCACCAGGCTGAGCTGGAAGTCCAGACTTGCCCTGAGCCACAGAAAGGAGCAGGGCCTCCAGAGCCCAGAGAAGACAGGTCTGGTAAGGCTGGGGCCCAGCAGGGCCTGGCACAGAGAAGCTGGCCCCTGAGAGGAGGCAGCCAAAGGCTGAGAGGCACAGTAGGTGTGAGGCGCAGGACAGGGCGCCCTGGTCCTGCAGGAAGGTGCTGAACACAGCTCCTGGGAGCTGGGGGAACTGGGGGGAGGGAGAAGAAAAGGGAAGCACTCCATTAGGAGCCCTCCATGTGATGGCCATGTGGTTGCTGTGGCTCGTGCCAGTGTCATTGAGCAGTGTGGCAAACTCGCCAGCATGACCACCTTGTGAGGGCAAAGAGTGGCCTCCCTGCAGCTCGCACATTCATCCCTGTGCACATGTGTGTTTTCACTTGTGGGCACAGCCCCTGGTGTATTCCTATACTGGTGCCTGGCATCTGAGGCTAGTGCACCCTGACCTGGGCCTACTGCTGCTCAGGCCACAAGCCTTTTCCACCATAACGAGAGAACAAGGCTTAGTGGCACCTACCACCTGGCTCTCCATCACCCCTCAGGGCCTGGACTCCCCTTCCAGCTGCTGGCTTCCACTTCTGGCCTGGGCTGGAATCCCCCAGTCCCAGATTTCCAGGATGCCCAACCAGGGAAATCCTGAGGCATGGAGGACGGGAGGCCACACAGCTGGCAAGGTCTGGCCTGGGCAAAGAAGAGCAGAGCTCATGTCTTTTCAGTGAAAAGGAGGATCTCTGGAAAGTCTTCCTCTCTGAAATGGGGTGGGATGGGGAGGGACAACCTCCTGTCCCCATAGCAGGATGGGAGAGCTCACTCCCAGGCCCCCACACCCAGGTCAGACATCACGTGCACCCTGAACAGAGGCAAGGGCCTGGCCCCGCAGCCTAGGGTCATTTCCTGCTCTCTCCACTTCCTTTCCCCACCGCCCTGCACTAGCACCAGGGCCAGGCAAAGGCAAGAATCAGACAGGGACTCCACAGACAGAGAACAACTTCCAGTTAAGTATGACATCAGGACTTGTCTTTCCTACTAAGCCTCCATCCCCACCCCTCCCCTGAGGCCCACGTCTGCTGAATTATCCGGACTCCGCACAAGCTGTGGCTTCCTCTCAGTTCAACAAACATTTCCTGAGCACCCACTACCAGTAATCCAGCCGGTAGGCGATGGAGACTGCCAGCAGGAGGGAGGGAAGAAACCCAGTCATCCGGCAGATCTGTGCTGTTCTGGGTGGGAGCTGGGGGCAGGATGGTGGTAGGAGCTCCAGGGGACCCTCCCACCTCTGCCTGGCAGAAGCAGGTGCCTTCTTTCTTGTTACGTGTGCCTTCTGCTCCCGAGCCCTGGTCTGGACCTCACCGCGTGGTCCCCTCTGCTCCCTCCTCTCTGGTCCTGCCATGGCCGCCTCTCTCTGCTGAGGGCTGTGGAGCTCTAGGGAGTATCAGGGTCACCCTGAGATTTCTCCACTGTCCAATGTGAGGCCTAAACTGTGGGGTCCCAGCTCAGCCTTCCTCACTGGCTCTCAACTCCACCCCAGCCCTCTATTCAGGAAGGTGAGGCATGTCTCTTCAGCAGACCAGACTGTTTTGAGAAGTGCTTCTCAGGCTGGGCGTGGTGGTTCATGCCTGTAAGCACTTTGGGAGGCTGAGGCGGGCAGATCACGAGGTCAAGAGATCAAGACCACCCTGGGCAACATAGTGAAATGCCATCTTAAAAAAAAAAAAAAAAAAAAAAAAGTGTTTCTCATACTTTAACTGAAGAGTCGTCAGATTTCAATGGCCTGGGGAGGGCCTTTTTAGGGTCTCGCTGTATCACCTAGACTGGATACAATCCAGTGGTGCCATCATGGTTCACTGCAGCCTCGAACCCTTCACTCAGGCAATCCTCTCACCTCAGCCTCCTAAGTAGCTGGGACTACAGGCATGCCACCGTGCCTGGCTAACTTTTGTGTTTTTTGTAGAAGTAGGGTTTCACCGTGATGCCCAGGCTGGTCTCCAACTCCTGGGCTCAAGTGATCCTCTTGCCTTGGCCTCTTAAACTGTTGGGATTACACGTGTGGAGCCACCATGCCTGGCAGAGAATTCATATATATATGTGTGTGTATTTTTCCTCTGGATTCGTCTGAAGCAGAGAGAATTCATATTTCTAAGAGGCTTCAGATGAACCCCATGGTGGTTCCTGGACCATGCTTTTTAGTAGTAAGGGTTTGCACTAGAATATATGGAGGGCTGGGGGTGAAGAGACTCTAGACTGTAAGAGTTGGTGGCTATGTAGGGGAGGGTGGAGTGCTACCCCTGTCAGGTGGTGGGGGCTTCCTGGCTTCAGAGTTGGGTGGGAGACTTGGGGAAGATGCTTTGGAAGGCAGTGAGTGGGTGGTGTCAACTTCTGTTAGTGCAGTGGGAGAGCTGGTCAGGGAGGGGACGACGTGAAGCGGGCAGAGGCGGTTGGTGTGGGGTTGATCAGAGGAATTTTGGAAAGGCTTGGAAACATCCTAAGCATGTGAGACACGTCTATGCCAGGGCGAAGACTCCAAGCTCAAGTTTTTCTCTTGTCTTCTAGTCACAGGAACATGGCTTTGGAGTGTGACACTGGCCTAGGAATCCATGACTCCCAAAGGATGAGGCTAGGGGTAGAGGAGGTTCAGGCAGAGCCCTTGGATTTTGGAGACACCAGGCAGATGTCTCCAAAAAGTATTGTGATCAAGAATCTGAATTATAAGATTCACAATCTGCTCCCCAACCCAGTGCTGCCAACTGTACAGCTGTGTCTTCACAAGGGGCATACGCTAGGCTCGTCTGACCCTGGTGAGGATGCAGGAAGTAGGCAGGGCCCTGGTTCAGCCCTCACAATGGCACTGAAGCAGGAGAGAAGGCTGTGGGGAAGTAGGGCTTGTCTCCAGAAGGATGTCAGGAGGAGGGATGTCACAGGAGTTACAGGTGTTGGCAGGAATGGAGACTAGCACAGGACCTCGCAGGAAGACGGTAGTGTAGGCAGGTAACATAGAGCTCTTCTCATAAAAAGAGAGCTCTTCTGCAGTATAAGGGAAGTGGTAGTTATGGTGGTAACCCCCGGCTATCTGTCCAGGTGGGTGCCACCCCTCCTGCTCTAGGAGGGAAGCAGGCATGGAGCAGGAGGGAGGGGCAGTGAGACACCCCACCACGGACCATGGCATCATGGGAAGCTGGTTCTACCTCTTCCTGACTGCTTTGTTTAAAGACCTGGCTGGGAGCCCTCCTTTTGGGTACGCTTCTCTTCTCCAACCAACAGACAAGACTACTCTTCAAAGGTCAAACGTCTTCATGAAACACAGCTGCCAGGAGCCCAGGCACAGGGCTGGGGGCCTGGAGAAAGGAGGGTACACAGGAGGAGGGAGGAGCCTGTAGGGAGATGTGCTTCACCTAAGGTCTCAAAACAAGGAGGGCAGAATAGGTAGAGGCCTCTCCGTCCCAAGCCCATCATTTTTGACAGATGGTGGGAAGGAAATGAAACAGACCAGCCTGCAAGAAAGACATGTGTTTTGATGACAGGCAGTATGGCCAGGTGGTACAAGCACAGGCCTTTGAATCCGACGGACTGAATCTGAACCCAAGGCCGCTATCTGTCAACCGGGTGACCTGGGTCAATTTTAGCCTCTAAATGCCTCAGTCTCCTTATCTGCAAAATGAGGCTTGTGATACCTACTTTGAAGGGTTCTGAGAAAATTAAAGAGTCTGCAAAATAGTCTACAGCCATACCACCCTGAACACGCCCGATCTCATCTGATCTTGGAAGCTAAGCAGGGTCGAGACTTGTTAGTACTTGGATGGGAAGAGTATGCAAAATATACCTGCCCGCAGTTGGACTCTCTCTTAACAGTAGCCTGGTACACAGAAGGCACTCAGTAAATATTTGTTGAATAAATGAAGTAGTGATTTGGTGTGATCTCTGTCTACTTTGTTTTCTATCTTTTCTTTAGCTTCTCTTCTAGCCTCATCTTTGCTGGGGGTGGGAGTCAGCGTACTTTCTGGGAATCAAGGAATGGTCTATAAAGTTTATCTGGCCCTCCAGGCAAGCTTCCTTCAGTCTCATGGGGTGGGGGGGAGGGTCCAGTGGAATCTCAGCCTCGAGCAGTGCCCCTGCTTTACCAAGGAGTATTCTTTGACCTTCCCCACTGACTCCATCCCACTTAACCCTTCACCCTGCCACAGCTCACAGGGGTTCTTCCTCTCTTCTGTCTACCTCAGTAGCAATCTCACACACACCACAGTTTTTTGCTTATTTTCCCCAGAAACAAACCCTCTTGAGGAGTTTGCTGCATGTGTCCCAGAATTGTTTTGTCACCCAAAGGAGCAGCATGATTGGAGTTTGCTAGGGTCAAGGAAGAGGAACTGGGGATCCTTAGAAGCAGGAGAACCTAGCTATCTAATAAGGCACAAGCTTGGAAGGTTGGACCACCAGTCAACTCCAGCCCCAACCCTGTCAGGGACAAGAACCACAGAAAAAGGTGGCACTCACCCCCCAAAAGAACGAGGAACTGTCAAAAATCCAAATACGGCCGTATTTTCTTATCTTAGGGTCTAAATCAAGGGAGGGGCCGAGGGAATAGGAGAACTAAAAATACCATGTCACTTCTGCTCGAGTCACTTATCCATGTCCACATACCCCACACACATCTCTTTCTGAGCAAGGGTTATCAGGGCTCATGAGGAAGGGCTGACGGGTTGACCACAACCCCACCGAAGGAGAACTCGAGGCTGGGAGAGGGAAGGATAGCGGCAAGCAGAAAGCATGGACTGCAGCTGCTTTCTCTCAAGTCTGCTGAGCCTTACGTCACAGCTGCTCATTAAGCACCCACTTGACGCCGGGGAAGTGAAATAGCCCAGACCTGGCACCAGAAAGAACAAATGTGGCACCCACTGCTCCTTTTAAGGACTGGCTCAAGCAGCAGCAGGCCTCAGGGCAGGAGGTGAGGCAAACACAGCAGTACCTTCAGGAGAGGGAGGGGATGGCTCAGGGCTGCCTCCTTCTTAACAAGCTCTCCAGGGCAAGTTCTGCAGCAACTGTCAAAAAATAACGGACAATGCAGCCTTTTTCCCTTTTCTTACAAACATTAGGCACACTGTTTCCTCTTCCCCCAGCAGGGCAGCTGGCTTCAACCAAGAGAAAGGGTCAAAAGGCACCTCAATAACCATCTGTCAAAACAGAAATACCCTACCCATAAGTTACAGTATCAGAGAAAAAGGCTGGGCCAGTGGTTCGGACTTCAGCGTGCATCAGCATCACCTGGAAGGCTGGTTACCACAGAATACTGGGCGTCACTTCCTGCATTTCTTCTTTACTTGGTTTGGGATGTGGCCTAAGCTGTCATGGTTATAACACATTCCCAGGTGACGCTGGTGCCGTTGGTCTGGGCACACTGGTGTAAAGTTTACCACCTACCCCTTCACATTTCTTTCTGTGCATCATATTGCCCAAGAGATAGATATTCCCTTGAAAATATATAACTTCATTTGTACACGTTGTACTTTTATTCCTAAGATCTCAAAGCCCTTTCATATCTATAACCTCCATTTGTTCTTGGGAATGCCATTTGGTTAGCAGAAAAGAGAGGTAAAGGGCCTTAACTAACGCCATTGTTGAGTCCCCAGGCTTCCTATCTTCCAGTTCAGGGGTCCCTCCCAAGAATA